ATACATCAATGGAAAGCTTATTTATTCAGCCTTCAGATTATGCATACATCTTATGACTGGTTTTGTGCTCCATGGTCACACACATTATATATATTATTTTTTTTTTTTTTGAAAATGTACAGTACCTCAGTAATTCCATAGTATTCTTTGAAGTACCATGTTGTATATGAATATGGTAATCATACACATATCATACCATCATGGCACCACCGCATTCATTGTGAGGAGGGCCGTGCACAGACATTTTGAGGGGCAGTGGCCCAAACCAAAAAAGGGGCACTAGGGGGGTGGGTGCTTGTTGACCATGTATTTTGGAACCACCCACCATTTCTGCCAGACTGTGAAAAGGAGAAACACATGGGGGGAATGGAAGGCACCCATTTACTTTAAAAACTGTGTTTGGCTTGTCAAAGTAACATTTTAGCATAACAGATGTAATGGTTGTTACATCAAAGCAAATGTATCCATTGTCTAAAAATATTTGATACATATAGGTGATTTAGCAACATATAAAACCATGCAAATCATTTAGCTAAATATTAGCCTGAACTGGTTAGCTACAGTAGGCTAGATTTTATTTTATTTTTTTTCAAAATGGCAGCTATGGAGCAAAGTGAGCCAACTGTTGTGGGGTAAATTGAGTCAGCATTTTAACTTAACCCACCATAAGGCACTGTAGTTAAGTTAAATCTCTGAATTATAAACTGGTGTTTTAATGTGCTCTGTTTAGTCTGTTTTTAGGAAGGCTACAACTTTGGTGGTCAACATTGTTTCAGAAATGCAAACAAATAAATACTGAAATTTAAACTTAATTTGGTTGGTTTTATGTTGTTAAAGTTAACTTTATGAAAATAAATATGACTGTTTGTAAAAGGAAATTATTAAATTAGTTTTTAAATTGTTTATTTCACATGGGTTTGAATCAGATTTGCCCAGATGGTAATTTTACACCCAGATGTTGCATCTTACCCACTGACTCGACTCGGGCCAACTTAGCCCTAACCCGGGACAAACTGAGCCATGGAAACACTTTTTTATTAGAAGCCATATTTTTAGAACCCTTTGTCATAGATACATTCTGATCATTTAAAAATGATAAGAAACATCCTGAAATTACGTTAGATACTTTCATTGTCCTTCTGCGTCATTTTCCCTTATCTTGAGGACCACATAAGTAAAAAATGGCTCACCTTACCCCACTCTCCCCTACTGTAATGCAGTTGCCTCTCAGTTGCTTAAATAAAAATTGAAAAATGATTAATTAGGTTAGGATAGATACTTACTTACTTTGTATTTCTGAGTCATTTTCCCTTGAGGAGACACATAAGTAAAAAATGGCCAATCTTAACCCACTCTCCCCTATAAGTATTAGACATTTATTTTAATATTTTACAGCATTAATCTATACAAATAAACAACTCATTTAGAACATTTATTTTTAAACTATTTATAGGCCTACTATTAATATGGTTTTAATAAAATATGATGTGTTATAGATTACTAGTATCAAGACAAGTGATTATAATGGGACATATACTTAATTACAATAATTAAAGTGTGACAAATTGCTAAATATTCTATATGATGATTTACCTGCTGGCTTGCTGGAGCTTTAAAATCATGTTTGCAATGTTGAAATGCCTTTAGCAGCCTCCCTTCGCGCTTTCTCTCTCTGTCTCTGTCTTCTTTTTTGTGAAGGTATTATTATTTTTATTTTTTTTTTGTCTACAAAGTGTGCCAACAACAGCTAATTTTGTTATTTATGTTAGATCTGATCGGGTATAATAATTTGATCAGACATTCTAATTCTAAGAACGTGGATATTTTGTTGTAATCACTTTTAATCACTTTACCGACAGAAATACAAAAACAAACTACCAAATTATTAATTCAGCGAATCATCCACTGACTGTAATGTGGATTGTAATGCATCTACCTGTTAATAAACGACCTTCGGGAACTGTGGTCTCCACTCCAGATAGTGGCACACCGATTGTGAGTGATGCTGCGGAGCGGGTGGGAAAACACGGAGCAGATTTGCGGAATCAGCGGATCTTTAGCGGAGCGGTAACCGAATGCTTTGAGCTGGGGTGATGGTGGGGGGATTGGCGAGAGGGGCAACTCAGCCGATGAGGGCAAAGGGGCAGTGGCTCTAGCCACCAGGCCACCCCCCTGTGCACAGCCCTGATTGTGAGCATACTTACTGTTGGGTTCAGACGTGATTTCTTTGTTCTTGTAGAACCAGGACACGGCTGGCACGGGTGAACTGATGACATCACAGATTACCTCAGCATCCTCACCCTGACGAAACTCCTGCGGCGTCTTCACCTCGCGGAACGTCAGCTTCTCTGTGACCAAACAAACACAACGACATGAAGTACCACAGTAAACTCACATGTTCTCAAGAAACCAAATCCTGCAATTAAGATATCTCAATCAGTGTCGTTATAGTTAAAGGCATAGTTCACCCATAAATTAAAGTTTTGTCAACATTTACTCACCCTCAAGCACAAAAGAAGATATTTTGATTAGTGGGTGCCATCAAAATGTTGATGGTACCCACTGATTTCCATAATATGAAAAAAAAAAAAATACTATGGAAGTCAATGGCTACTGTCAGTTGTTTGGATACCAACATCTTATTTTGTGTTCAACAGAAGATCACCCATAAATTCAAGTTTTGTCAACATTTACTCACCCTCAAGCACAAAAGAAGATATTTTGATTAGTGGGTGCCATCAAACTGTTGATGGTACCCACTGACTTCCATAATATGAAAAAAAAAAAATACTATGGAAGTCAATGGCTACTGTCAGTTGTTTGGATACCAACATCTTATTTTGTGTTCAACAGAAGAAAGACACTCAAACAGGTTTGGAACAACAAGAGGGTGAGTAAATGATGACAAAATTTACATTTTGGGATGAACTATCCCTTTAACTAAAACTAAAAAGAAAACTATAAAAAGAAAAAGTAAAAAGAAAAGAAAAGAAAGAATGAATGACTGAATGAAACATTTTTATTTATTGAAATAAACGTTTACTGACATTAATGCAAACGTTAAAATAAAACGGTAACACTTTACAATAAGATAATGAAGTAGCAATGAAAAATACTTCTAAAGCATTTATTAATCTTAGTCAACATTTACTAATAATGGACAGTTGTATTTTTATTCAATATCATTAACAAAGATTAATAAATACTGTAACAAATGCATTGCTCATTATTAGTTAATGCTAGTTAATGCATTATTGTAGTGTTACTAATAACATAAAAAAATGAAAATGAAAAATAAAATAAATGAAATGAAATAAAACATAAATATATTGAAATAAAAACACAAAGATAATAAAAAAAACAGAAATGACTAAAACTCTGACTGAAATGAAAATGGAAAATATTGAAAATAAAAACTACATTTATTTATTAAAAATTAATAAAAACTATAATAATATCTCAACGATACTAAAATAACACTGATCTCAATATGAATATGATATTTTTCAATACATTCTAACTCTCATTAGAGTATAAGAAGAGTATTTGTAGACTATTGGGTTTAAGTTAGGGTAAGTAGAATAAGTTGCCATGTACTTGCAAAGTTACTTCTAGTCAGTAGAATAAAAGTAAAGTGGACTATCAAAACAAAGTGTTACCCTATTTATTTCTCCACTATTCTCCTGTGTGATGAAGGAGCAACCACTGAGTTCTTTGCACAAACATTTACAGTACCAACGTGAAAGCAAGTCGATTTCGACAGAAGTGCTTCTCTTTTAACTCAAAGTATAATGACTCAAGCGGTTTCACTGGCTAATCAACATTATGTTTTTCTCCCTCGTCTTTGCATGCTCTGAATGCGATTGCATTCAGTCTCTTATTGAAAAAGTGTGCTTGTAAACAGACATAATCTCTTGCTGTTTGGCTGAAATCGTTTTTCTGAATCTCATAATTTGGCTTGAGCTGTGAGGTCAGGGCAGAGAACCACACTGGGCCTTGTTTCTACACTATTATATACAATTATTTAGTGCTTGACCTGCTGAAAACACTGAAGATCTTGATTCATTTCAGCACAAGAATGCTGTTAATACTGTCCAAATGGACTGTACTGAAGGTCATCTTACAGAAATCACTGATTGATTTGATTTAGTCAAAAAAACAAACAAAAAAAGTGCGATGAGAGTGATTTGCTTTTATTTTCTGCGTTTTTAAGCGTATCATATTGCAGCATGTCTTCATAATGTCACAGTTCAGCCTGAATGTCATCACATCAACACTGAGTAGGATTGGGAATCAAGAACCAGTTCTTGTCTATAACTGGTTCTGTTTTCTGAAAAAATACCGTAACCTCGTGAAATTCATAACTTTCAGTTCCAAAAATAAAAGTTCAGTTTAATATGAAATTATGACAGAAATATATTGCTACTGCATGCTAAAATGTACTTAACAGAGTAATAATAATAACAATAGTTATAATAGAATATATATATATATATATATATATATATAATAGAAACATAATAAAAATAAAACATTATTTTTAAGAAATATCACGCAAGAGATTTTTCATCCAAGTTTTAATTTATACAGTAAACCTGTTGCAGCGCTGTTTGAAAAAATGCAACATTGTTAGAATACATTTCAAAAGATTGATTAAATCGTTACATTTTAATAAATTCATCCAATTTGATCATCTGTATATCATAAACCACAGAATGCAGTGTAATTAATACAAACAACACAGAATTTGGGGGGAGGGGTCTCTTATTGTTATTGTTCCAGAGAATAATTATAAAAAAAAAAAAAACCTTTTCATAATGTATATAGTCTGCAAAAAATTTCCTTACTTAGTATTTTTGTCTTGTTTTCCAGTACAAATATCCAAACATTCTTAAATCAGTATACATTTACTTTGCGAAGCAAAATTACTTAATATCTTAAGTCTTGTTTTCTGAAAAATATCTGCCAGTCGGGTCAGAAATATACTTAAATCAAAAGGAAAACAAGATTATCTTTCTGACCCTGCACTGGCAGATATTGTTCTTGCTTTAAGCAAAAATGAATGAATGAATGAATGAATGAGACAATCATTTTTTTCCAGTGAAAGCCTCTGTTACCTGGTGGATTGGTACAGTGTGATTCCTGGATGTTAAATCCGGCCAATCAGATTTAACCTCTCTTTTTTTTTTTTTTCAATAATTACGTGCAAAATTCATATGACTGCCAGTGCACTGACTGCAAATTAGTCTGAAAATGAGTCTATTTTTGCCTCAACAAGCAGGTAGTACAAGTACAGCTAGAAGATATCTAATGCT